ATGAATATCTGTGGATATACCAAAATAATGACTGAGGGGGTGACTTCCACTCTAGAAAAACCACGCAAAGGACGGGTTTTTTTTAATGCTTGGACTGTTTCCCTATTGGACGCCTACTAGGGGTTTCTTTTCTGATGTGAGTGGCTTCTGTCATATTTTGGGCCTGCTTCCTGAACAAAATGACTTTGTGTGCATCAGAAGTTAGTGAGGTTGATCTCCTACACAGTTTACTGCGACTAAAACCCAAAACCTGTTCTAATGTCTGTCAAAGCACCTCTTTTCTACTCTAGTTGAGCACTCAAAGCAATTTATACAACATTCCCCCAATAACAAAAGCACTTTTTTCTACCCCAGAGCTTCCTACCTAACATTCACACACATTTACGCTCTGATGGTATTGGAGAGGAACTTGGGGTTCAGTATCTTGCCCAAGGATAGTTTGGCACACAGGCTAATCAAATCAAATCACCAAACTTACAACCTTAGTAAATGACCTGCTCTACTTCCTGAGCTACATCCACTTCAGTTGAGCGACCTCTGTAGTACGAACCTGTTGCAGTGCTGCATCTCATAGTACCATCCACATACAAGTAACTCTCAGAAGCTCTAATCTTGATTTTGTGGCTGATTAGAAACGTACTCATATCAATATCGTCAATCCTTAAACCTGTGAACTTTTAATATTAGGCACAATTGCTTAACAAAGGACTTCAAAGTAACTGACAGACCATCACAGTGCCACGTGATCAAGACAGTTTGGAAGAGAGGAATCTACAGTAAAGCAAAAGAGGAAGAACAATTGAAATCTAACACAGAGTTCTGCTGTGGAATGATTGTACAGTAGCACTCGGGATTAGACGTGATTAAATCCACTTAAATCCGCTGTTAAAACGATAAGGGCTTTTTTCTGTATGTTCCACAGCTGAAATATAGGTCACACAGAGCCAAGCAGAGATGCAGAGTTGATGCACACACATGTGCAGCAGTGTTCTGTTCCCTACAAAGAAAACGCGTGCACAAAATCCAACTACCACCACCACCTCCATCACCACTTTACCCGTCTCCCAGGGCAACAAGAGCGGAATCTACCAAGAGGCATGTTGAGAATGAAAGAGAGGAGAGGGGAGGAGAGGAGCAGGAGGAGGAAGGAGAAGAGAGAATGAAAGAACAGGGAGACGGACACAAAAGACAACCCAATCTACCAAGACTTATTCTAATAAGCTGCTAGGAGGAGGATACTATAGGGGTAATCCCTGCTGTGGGACACCCGTCTATGGGCGAGTGTGGATAATGTGGCTACCGTCTGATGGATACAGATAATGGAGTACATGCTCAGACAGTTATATCTGGCCTTGGCATGTGTAAAAGAATGATGTCTGGTTTATTTGCATACAAACTACTGCCTAAACTCTATGTGACAGTTGATGCAATGACACAAACGCATGTTCGCATGTAGGTTTTCATGCAGTGTCCTCCTTCAGTGTTGCACACATGAAATTTAAGTATTTCCTAATTCCAATTTGTTCAGAAACCAAATTATGCAATCGACTTAGCCAATAACCCTCCAAGCTCGAGGAAACATTGATGTTTGGGGTAAGTTCTCCATAATAAACTGTTTAAATCTCATGCAGGGAAACTGAGAATAACTAGTCCCATGTCCACACAATTTTACACAGTATCATTTTTTGTATTCTTTGGCTAATTTGCCATACAAGAAATCATGTTGAATTACCAAAGAGCACTAAAAGGATTCTTTGTGAATAAGAGGGTGTTAAAAGATGCCTGTACCCTGTTTAGCCTATCCCACCATCATGAGTGACAGAAAAGTTTATTATTTGGCGTCGCTGGGTTTATTCTTCCCACAATTGTGCTGTAGACCTTCTCCATGCTGCCCCCCGCCCACTCTACAAAATTACTTGCTTCTATTTTCCTTATCATAGATGCCCTACAGCATCCTGTTCCCCCCGATCATATCTGCCCCTCCTCCTCCCCTTCAACCACCACCTCCCTCTCTCCATAGGGCTCATGCTGGGTGGGGAGGAAGCAGTGGCAGTGCTGGCATCTGTTCGAAGGGCTGGTGCGTTGCCAGCCACCGAGCATCACTCCGGCAGCCAGAGTCACACTGTTGGATTTATCTCCAACCTGTCAGCTGATGCTTTTTGTGGGCGTTAAGCTGGGCGGGCATAACCTTTTTTCTTTTCTTTTTTTTGGGTGGGATGGGGCATTCGCACTGCCAAAGTGGCCACAAGAGAC